CATTATTCCCCCCACCCCCCCCCTTTTAATAAATGAAAACAATCCCAGCCCTGAGGCGAGCGAGCGTGACTGTTCCAGGAGCATTAATCATCCTCTGGGAGCCCAGCACGGGTTATCGACGCTGTTTATCCAAGCTGCTATTAAAAAATGGCCATAAAGTCGCCTTCAGCCTCTCCTGAAGGAGATGAAGTGTCTGCAGGGGCTGCTGTGCTGGGCTGATTGTGTCGCCCGCCCCACGCAGCAAAGTTGTGTTCCTGCAGAGGAGGAGGACAGGGTGCCTTAATTGCTGCCAGGAGGAGAACCAGAGTCTTTTCCAGCCGATTTGCAGCCTGGGAAGGATCCAGGTTCTTGAGGAAGCTTTGTCCCAGCTGGGAATTACCTGGTTTTCAGCTGTCACAGCACCCCAAGGAACCAGAGATCAACCCTTTTGATGTTACCCAGTGCTTAGTCCCTTGGCAGCCACTGAACCTTCCAACATGACTGTTATTTTTTCTCTTATATTTGGTGAAAAATGGTTAATTTAGCCCCAGGTTTGGGGTTTCACATGGAACAGCAGCAGCCTGAGGTTGTTTCAGGCTGCACCTCAGCTCCTCCAAGGCATCTGGGCTCTTGAATCGCAGTCCTCAGGGGAGGCATCTTGCAAATTAGCATTTCTTAGCAATGAGAATTTGATTTAGGAAGGAGAAGAAGGAAACCAACCAAAAGAAGTTAGATCAGCAAAATGGTAATTTAATAATCTGTAGCGGAGAGAGGGAAGATGCCCATGCCAAGGTGGGAGGCATGGTTGGGCAAGGACAAGAACTGCTGTTTTTTCCATGAATTATCAGTTGATGATGCTCTTATTGATCCCTGGATTCTCGACAGCCCAGGACAAACCTGGAATGGCTGTTCCTCAGCTGGGGAGCTGGAGCAGCATCTCCAGAGCCACTTCAGCTCACTGATCTGAAGGAAGCTGTGGCAGTCCCAAGCACACCTGAGCATGCTTGAACACCTCTAAGCATCCCTGAACATCCCCCAAGCATCCCTGAGCAGCCTTGAGCATCCCTGAACATCCCTCAGCAGCCCTGAGAGGTTTTGAGCATCCCTGAGCAGCCCAAGAGGTCTCAAGCATCCCCTCAACCTGCAGGCCATGTCAGGACAGCCAGCACAGGTTCTGGTCCCTGAGTGACACATCCCCATGCCAGCAGTGCCACAAGGATTTCATTACCTCCAGCCTGGGGAAAGCTCAAGCAGATTTAATAAAGCCATTATGCCCCTGGCAACGCCTTTAATTAAAGAGCTCGTTATAAATGGCTGCTGCTGCCTGGTAAGAGGAACTCAGCAGTGAAGCAGCTCATTTGTCCCTGGACTGGCTGCCACCATGGCCCCTCAGCAAACACTGCCGTTGTTCCTGCTCTATGGATGGGACAAGATCTACCTCCATTTCATTCTGAAGGCTTCAGCTCATTTGTCCCTGGACTGGCTGCCACCATGGCCCCTCCTGCTGTATGGATGGGACAAGATCCACCTCCATTTCATTCTGAAGGCTTAAAGGGCTGTTCTCTTTCCTTGTCTGCTGAAAGTTGAGATAGTTCAGCTGGACACATGTTTATAAACATTTCTAAACCTATTTGGTATTGGGTTACACAGTGCTGCTCTCATCAAGGCGAAGCTTTATGTCTTGCCAAGTATCCCAAAGGATATGTCCCCAAATCTCATCCCCTTTGTGGATCTTCCAAGGGTCTCAGCTGGGCTGAGGTGGGGGAGTCCTCCCTCTGCTCTGCCCAGCCCATCCCAGCCATGGCACAGGTTTCCAGTTTATGGTGGCTTTTATGGCTTTAGCAGATGACTCTGGTAAACCATTTTCCAAGCAGTGATAAAGGCCCAGGGCCGGCCGGGTGGTGACAGTGGCTCCCCTGGCAGTGCCATACCCCATATCTCGCACCTCACCTCCCTCTGCTCGGGGTGGTGGCTCTGGGACTCTGCCCCGGGCTGCAGAGGCACCTGGACTTTGCTGCTGCTGTGTCAGGTCTCCATCAGGCTCTGGGGCCACACTGGGGTTTCAGTTCTGCTGAATCATGCCGTGCTGGCGGTGGTGGGTCCCCATCTGCTGGGGTTTGTGCGCCGGGCAGGGAGAAGGGAGTGGGGATGTTGGTGGGGGACTTAGGTGCCTTTACTCAGGGTTCCTGTGTGGCTGACAGCAGACTGGAGTGCCCAAGGGCTGGGGGAGCAGCCCTGCACCCCAAGAGAGGCTGTTACACCTGATTGCTGCACCACGGGAGCCCCAGGTCCCACCAGCCACTCCAAGGATGCTCCAAGCTCCCATGGGTGGTCGAGGGCAGAGGGTGCTGTGAACCCCGCCATGAGCGAGGGTGTGCGGGTTCCCCAGGGTGCTCTGGCTCTGGGGGAGCCCCGGGTCTCTCTGGGGGTCCAGCTTGAGGCTGCTGCCGTCCCTCCCCGGCCGGTGCCTGCTGCCTGTCTGCTGCGGGTGATCCAGGGCCGAGGATGCTGCAGATCCTCTGCGCCCTCCCTCCCTCCCTCCCCAGGGCGCTGCGCGCCGCGGGCTCCTGGTGACATCTAGTGGTGTCACACACAGGGACAGACACAGGGACAGACACACGGACACACAGACACGGCGAGGGCGGTGGTCCGGGGGCGCTGCACCCCCGGGGGCCCTGCCCGCACCTCGGCCAGGGCAAGCCGAGATGGGGACCCCCTGCTCTCGCCCCAGTTCGCCTTCTGTCCCTTTATACGCTTCTGTCCCTCATACACTTCTGTCCCCTCACACACTGTCCCCTCATACACCTCTGTCCCTCATACACTTCTGTCCCTCACACGCTGTCCCTCTCATACACTTCTGTCCCTCATACACTTCTGTCCCCTCATACACTTCTGTCCCTCATACACTTCTGTCCCCTCACACGCTGTCCCCGGGCCCTTTCCCCCTCAGGGATTTCCCTCAGGGTGTGCCCGGCCCTGCTGGAGGCCTCACCATGGGGCAGATGGAGGTCGGGGGGTGATGCCACCCCTCTGCCACCCCCCGGCCCACCAGCCCAACCAAGGGGTTCTGGTGCCCAGGATGTCACTCCAGGGCTGCTGCTGGGTGCAGGGATGAGCCGGCAAGGCCCAAACACGAATTAAATGGTGACAAAGCCCCCGTGGAGGGGACAGTCCTTAGGCCGAGCCGGTAGGGCCTGGTGCACCCTGGCCTGTTGGTGTCACAGCGAGCAGGGGCTCAGGTTTGGGAATGGGGGTGTCACACACACTGTCAGTGAGCCACCTCCTCGGGGACTGTCCCCAGAACACACGGGCCCCGCGTGCTGGTGGTCCCCCTGCCGCTTTTGCAGCCCCCCTGCCTCTGCTCCCTCCGCCGCCGTGCTGGGGTGCAGCTCCCCCTCGCTTTGGCTTTGTCATCGCTGCGTTGCCGTGCCAACGCGGTGGCCCTGTCCCTGCTCACACACTGTCACCGCTGGCACAGGCAGCAGCGCCCGCAGGTAGGGCTGGGGAACGCGGGGAGCTGTGTGGGGATCTGCCTCCAACCCCTCCATATGCCCCTCAGACCCTCCTCAGCTGTGAGCCAGGGAGAATCCCCATCCCTGCAGGAGCATCGAGAGCAGAGACAGGCCCTGTGAGACCCCCCCTGGCATTTTGGAGAGTCTCAGCCAGAGGCCACAGTGAGGGGGGCCGGGCATCCTGCCCCCCAGGGCACGTAGGTTAACCAGATTAACCAGATTAACCAGATTAACCAGAGAAAACACCCTGCCAAAAGTAGGGAGCGCTGGCTTTGCCCTGGGAAGGGGGAACTGTGGATGTGGTTGGGAAGACAGAGGTTGGGAGGGGAGCAGGCAGGTCCTGGAAGGGGTCCAGTCACCTCCAGTTTTCCCAGCACTCGGTGGTGGCTAATGGGCAACCAGAATATCCCGCTGCCACAGACATGCCATGTCCTGCTGTCAGGCCTGTGGCTGGTGGTGTTCATTGCCTGTCCCTCCATCCTCAGTGCTGTTGGGGACTGTGTTTGCCCTGTGTGACTGCCAGCAGGGCCAGATGTTTGCCTCTGGTGGGAGGCAGGACAGGGCTAAATGGGTCCCCATCTGCAGCCCCCCGATGTGCCAGCAGCCCCTCGGTGTGATGAGAGTTTTGGGGAGGCTGTTGTGATGTGGGGGAGCTGGTGCCTCTCACTGTCCCCCCCCCAGCCTGGTCCCCCTGCTCATCCCACAGAGCACCCCATGGCCCCGGGCGGTGAGGCTGGACACAGGCAGCCTTTGCAGTGCAATTTAATGGGATAAACCAATTCCCTTAACTCACTTATCTGGCTGATCCAATAAAGGTGGCTGGGAATAAAGTGTGTGCGTGGTCTTAATGCGTTCCCCCTCTCCACACTCCCCCAGCCCTGGCAGCACCGTGGGTCTGTCTGCCACAGCTGGCAGAGGGCTCCTCCCCAAGAGGGGACAGAGCAGAGCGGGGACGCTGGACCTGGGGACTGGGAGCTGCTGGCTCTAGGTGCCAGGGAAGAGAAGTGGCTGTGGCAGTGGTGGCTCCGATCCATTGAGGGATAACCCAGCACAAAGCATAGATCAGGTGAGTTGTAGGGGCCATGGGAAGGGTCTGTGGTGTAGCTGTGGCTGGGTGACACCATGTGTTTGTCCCCCCCACCAGCACGGATGTTCACCCAGCCCCATGTCCCCATTGCTTTTACCATGGAGGGGGTCCCTTGCTTACCCCTGCACCTCCTTCCTCTCAGGGTTTGGGGGTTGTTGTGGGGGTCTGCGAGCGGGTGGGCTAGGGAGGGGGGGAAGGTGGGACATGGGATGGGCATGGAGTGGGAGGGATGGGGATTGAGGGATGGGGATTGTGGGATGGGGATGGAGGGACAGTGTTGGAGGGGTGGGGATGAAAAGGATGGAGGCAGGGACAGGCACAGAAGGGCAGGGATGCAGGGGTGTGGATGGAGGGCTGGGGCAGGAGGAGTGGGGCAGGCAGGGGCAGGAGGGTTGGCAAGAAGGACAGGAGCAGGCAGGCAGGGACAGAAGGACCGGACAGGAGTCCAGGAGCAGGCAGCAGGTGCGGGAGCAGGGGATGGGTGTGCCGTGGCGGCTGGGAGCCACCTCCAGGTGTGGGTGACGCAGCCAGAGCAGGAAGCGTCCGGCTCCGTGGCAGGTGAGGGTGGAGCAGAGGCGACAGACGCTGCTCAGAGCCGGACCTTAGCCCAGGTCCGGCCAGCCGGGACCCGCTGTGGCTTCGCTGCCCCCTGATCTGTGTCCCTGCAGGCTGCCATGGACGGGGCCCCGCCGCCCTCCAGCCCCAGTGGGCTCTCGGCGTACGTGGCCGTGTCGCAGCTGCTGGGCCTGACGCTCCTGGCCACCACGGGTGCCTGGCTGGGCCGCTACCGGGGCGGCGTGGCCTGGCACAGCCCCCTGCAGTTCAACGCCCACCCTCTGTGCATGGTGCTGGGCATGGTGTTCCTCCAAGGTGACGGTGAGCAGAACGGCGGCACACGCGCCCTGTGCCAGCTGCAGCCTCCAAAGCCCGGAGCTGCGGTCGGGCAGGGGATGAAGGGGACAAAGTGGTGACAAAAAGGCACGGGGAAGGTGCAGCAGCATCCCTGGGCAGGGCTGGGTGAGCCCTGTGGATGCTCAGGTGCCCTCTCTGTGCAGCTCTGCTGGTGTACCGGGTGTTCAGGCACGAAGCCAAGCGCTCCACCAAGGCACTGCACGCCTTGCTCCATGGCCTGGCCCTGGTCATCGCCCTGGTGGGTGAGTGCTGGGCTGTGCTGGGCTGGGCTGGGCTGGGCTGTGCTGGGCTGGGCTGGGCTGGGCTGGGCTGGGCTGTGCTGTGCTGGGCTGGGCTGGGCTGGGCAGGATGCTGCCCTGGTGCTGATGGTCTCTTCTCCGCAGGCATCATCGCTGTCTTCGAGTCACACCGGGCTAAGGGCATCCCTGACATGTACAGCCTGCACTCCTGGTGTGGCATGGCCACCTTCGTGCTCTACCTCCTGCAGGTGAGGGGTGGGAAGCCCCTGGCCCCCCCGGCAGGGAAGGGGCTCAGCAGCACCTGTGACATCCCCGTGTCCCCACAGTGGCTCCTGGGCTGTGGTTTCTTTCTGTTCCCTGGTGCCTCGTTCTCGCTGAGAGGGTGGTACAAGCCCCAGCACATCTTCTTTGGCATCACCCTCTTCATCCTCTCCATCACCTCCTGCTTGTTGGGCATTACTGAGATGCTCCTCTTCAACATCAGGTGGGTGACTGAACTGGAGTGAGGGGGTGGCCCTCCAGACCTCAGCAGAAGGATGTCCCTGCTCAATCTGTGGCTCTTAAATCTCCCCTTGAGGCCTTTATTTCTGCTGCTGCTGAGTCATTTACCAGATGAAGTTTAACAAGGGGCTGGATCCAAAGCAGCAGCTTTCTTTGGGAATGTGGGTAAAATGCCCAGTGCCACTTCCCTGCATCCAGGTGTTTGCAGAACCACTCAGGGACTCATGTCCCTGGGACCTCTCTGTTCTTGCAGCTGCAGGACACAGTGAGGACCCCAGCTGCACACTGGGGTCACCCCCAGCCCCAGCACTGTGGGGACAGGGTTATGGAGCACCCCAGGAGCCACTTCCCTCCAGCAGGGAGGGTACTGGGCTGCCTGTAGCCCCAGTACAGGACTGTGCCACCAGCTTAATCTGCTGTCACCAAGGGTCTCCCAAAAGCAAAACACCAACACTCCTCTCTTGCTCTGATTTGGGGAAGGGACCTTTCCCATAGTGTGTGCCTGAAGGATGAGGATGAGGAGGGGGTCCCAGCCAGGATAGGAACAGATCACCCATCCCTTAAGGCTTGAGCATCCCTCTCCATCCCTGCAGTGACTCCTACAGCCACTTTGTGCCTGAGGGCATCCTGGCCAACACGCTGGGGGTGCTGCTGGTGGCCTTTGGGCTGGTGGTGGGCTACGTGCTGACCCGGGAGGAGTGGAAGCGCCCACCCCTGGCAGAGGAGATGGCCCTGTCCATGGACTTCAAGACCCTGACAGAGGGAGAGAGCCCTGGTGGTGGCAGCCAGTGACACCTGCAGCTCCTGGTCTCCAGCACGGGCTCCTTGTGATGTCTGAAATGTTCTGTGCACCTTGTCCCTGGTGCTTTGCATCTCTGCCCAGCCCAGGGTGACGAGGACAGCTGGGGAAGGACACGCTTGGTGCAATGCTGCCTGCTGGACTCAGCTTGGCTTGGCCTCAATCATCCTGAGCTCTGCCCTGTCCAGGCCCTGGTGACCCCTGAACCCATCCCAGCCCCGTGGGAATGGCAGTGCTGTGGGAATGGGCAGGGCAGGGGCTGGCAGGGGCACGAGGGAGAGGAGTCCCTGGGCTCTTCCTCTTCCCTGCTCTGGGGACGGAGTGGGAGCAGAGATTTCTGCACTGTGGACCAAAGCCTCCAGGCTGTTCCCAGTGCTGATGGGCAGAGGGGATGTTTGCCACCACTGGGATGTCCCACTCACTGGCAGCCCCTCACCCTCAGCATGGCCATGTGGGGGGGATGCTCCCCTAAAGGGCTCCTGGGGGTTCGGAGTGACCCTGTGCCTGTGCAGGTTCAGCAGCTTCGTGTCTGAAGTGTTTTCTCCCCACGCGTGATGTGTTTGCTCAGTGGATGCTCCTGACCTAATAAATGTTTGCAGCTAACCCTCTCCTCCTCACTCTCTGTCCCCCCAGATCAGTTTTGGGGTATCCTCGAGTTCCCACACGCCGAGGGCAGCTGGGAGAGGAGCCCGAGGGGCTGGGGAGGGTGGGTGGGATTGTCCTGTCCAGCCTGCAGACCTCAGTGGTAGCTGTGTGAGGGTCCCCACGGGCACATCTCCAGGATCTGGCCATGCATGGGTGTTATAATTATTATCCACTATATTATTTTATGCCTTTTGCTGGCAGCAGCACTAGCACTGCCTGTCACCTCCTGCTCCTGGTGGTTCCCAGGCCTCTGTCCCCATCCCCATGCAGTGACTGAGACCCAACTCTCACACCATCATTTCCACACCAAGAAGCATCAGAACACTCCTTCACTGACCCCAATGTGGGAAAAACAGCAGCCCAGACACCATTTCCAAGTGTTAACCATTTATAAATAGGTACATTTTTTCATACATACAGTTTTCATTGTACAGATTACAATCTGTATACATTGGGGGGGGAAATGCATTCTTTTGAACTTTTCACATCTATCTCACAGCTCACATGTACAGACAAGAAAACTCTGCTCAAGCAAATACAGCAAAGGAAAAAATATGTTTTCTTCTTTCCTTAGAGATGAGAGGCGAAGGCCTCTGCTGTTGGCAGGGGCTGCTCTTCCCACTGCACAATATCACAACTGTGTGGTGTTCAATATATCAGAGAGAACAGAACATGCATTGGATAATATACTGTACAGAGAGAAAGTCCTTTACATCTGAATTATAGAAAAGCTAAAGGAAAATTTAAGTGTCTTAAAGATCTTCCCAGCAAGTGTCTCAGAGGATGGCAACCAGGGAGTTGTACAAAGCACAAGGCAGGTGTAAGTGGACGTGTTTGTACCCAATTCAGATCCTCTCGGGTGTGAAGACAGAAAGGAGATGGACGCTGAATGCAACACTACGGCAAAGAAAAGGCTGGACAGGGATGAGCCCGGCAGTACTGGCAGAGTCCACACGAGTCTCTGGCTTATCAGTGTAGCAACACAATGGACTTTATGTAGCACACAGTGCTGCTCTCGTGGCTGGCTGAGCAGTGCACAGCGAGGCAGCCCTGTGGGGACCCAGCTCTATGGGCACGAGGCTTTCCCACCGACCCACCCCGACCCTGACTTGCCTCCCCACCGCCGTCCCTGGACAGCATCACCCAAAGGGACCGAGTCTTTTAGCAGAGCAGCCCTCTGTTTTCACAGCCACAGGATGTGATCCCATCAGATGGGACCTGGCTGCTGACTCCCCAGTCCCGTGACAGCTAGAAAAGGAGCAGGAGGAAGGACACGGCTGGTGGGCTGGGTGTCTGCTGGCTTTCCCCGTGACGGCCGCGCTCGCTGTGACCTCTTGGGTCGGTCTGTACCAGTTTGGTGAGATCCAGCTGTAGAGTCAAGAGTTGGACACGAATGCATCTTGCTAAAGAATTGAGCCCTTAGTGGTTTATATTAGAAAAAAGAGTTTGATTGAATGAAAATCCAGCAATTATTCACATAAAGCTGAAAACAACGCAGATTCACTTTCAACCATTGTGCTTTGTGTCCAACACACCCTCCACCAGCCTGCGAAGTGCAGCCGGCATGGGGTGAAGGCTTTGATTTGCAGAGGTCCCAGCAGGTACAGCAGCTCTTTCCCTAAGCCCTTGGGTAAAGGTTGATAAACCAGAAGAGTTACCTTGAATTCCCAAGAGTACAGCAAAGTACAACCACCAAGGAGCTCGTGCAGTGCACTATGGACCCCCGCGGGCGAGGGAGGCGGAGGACGAGCAGGCACGCTGGCTTGCTTGGTTCTCTAGATAAGGCAGAGCTGGCACTTCGGTTTTAGCTAGACTTCTCCTGGGTAACCCTGAATATACAGCAACCTTAGTGAAGGAGACTGAACTGCTCCCAGTTTACTACCCAGCCTGGTTCCAGACCCAATCCCAGCACGACTCCGGTGTTTGGCACACGCACGCTCACACGTTCACACCAGCCACGTGGTTTTCTTCACAGCCAGGTTAAAGAAAAATAACCAAAAAGTTCAATGCTCAGACAGACTGAGCTGGGCACTGGTGCCACAGCAGACAGACAGATGGACAGACACACGTCTCAGATTGTTGGAACCATCACAGTCCTCCCACACAGTGACACAGAGAAGGCAGCTCAGGCTGTACCTCCTTTGGAGATGGATCTCAAAGGACCTGTCTTTGTAAAACCCTCCTTTTCCTAAGCACTCTGATGCCCACTCAAGACTATGTCCAAAGCCCTCTGATGCCACTCCCAGCCTGGCTGGTGGGACCCTGCAGAGCCTCCCACCATGTGGGTGTCCACTCCCCTGCACTGCAGCATCCTTCTGACCTGGGAGAAAAGTGAGAGCCCACTGAGGGATGGGGCAGACACCCACACCTGATGCTGGGAGAGAAGATTCCAGCTCTGTGGCAGCACACCTGGGTCTCAGAGCAGCCACACGTGAGGATGAGACACCTGGTGGGAAGGTTGGCTAAAGAAAGGGGTCAGCTTCAGCATCACTTTTGGCACTGCCTTCCGCATGTACCCCAAGAATGCAAACTGGAGTTTCAATGTCATCAAGAACCTGCTTTACTTGGTGGACCTCAAATCCTGCTTGCTTGAAGATGGGGCTTGCCACTGGTACCACTGCAGTCAGGAGGGCATGAAGGCACCAGCTGGCAGCACTGACCTGCGTGTTAATTACTCAAAAAGTAATTAAATACATAGCACAGATGTACAGGACAGCTCAATGTCTGAAACTGAGCGTGATCCCACAGTGTGGCCTGATCTTGTCAGACCCAGATCTAAGAGGAGAGGATGAAGGGCCCTCAGGGTGAGATCTGACCTTGTGCTCCCCCAAGCACAACGGGGCCATGCCAGCACAACACAGAATGACTTCTGCTTCTCCTCGTGCAAAGACCAAATCATGACTTTGGTGGGGATGTAGGGGACTGAGCAAGAACAGCTTTTCCAGGAGGAAATGTGCTTCTTACCCACCTGGTGACCACAGCAGCCATCCTGCCTCAATTGTCCCTAAGAGAATTGCCGGGGAAGTGCTTTAAAACCACTGCAAATAATTTTGTATTCAAAAATTACTCAATCTGTTGATGCTTATATACAGGAGTCAGTTCTTGTGCTATAAATGTTATGATTCATTGCTTCATTTCTTTTCTCTTTTTTTTTGAAAAATACACTAAGAGACATGAGCTGTTTTGCTATTTTTCTAATGAAGACACTACTCACGCTTAAATATCCAGTATTTATCATAGTAACAAATTCAAACAGTAAAGTGCACCCATGTACAGAGAGAACAGATGGAAAACCATTAGTGCAAGAATCCTGTGGAAAATGTAACACGTGGAATCGTGAGAAAACCTGCATGCTGCAGTGTTTCAAGCCTCCTTCAGCTTTGTGGTTGTGTTAAAAGCGTGAGCTGTTTTGTTTTTCCCTTAAAACATCTTCAGAAACTGGAGAGTTACACACAGGAGAGCTGTGGGGGGATGTTCTGAAGGACAGGACTGGGAGCACAAGGCAGTGAGTGGCAAAAGCAGAGCATGGGCAGCTCTCCTGGCACTGCCCCTGGAGCACGCTGCTGGCAGGGAGAGGAGCACCCCAGGGTGTCACACTCGGCTGGGTAACACCGGGACAGGGCTGAACTGGGTGACTTTTTCCTTTCAAAGAAGCAACTAAAGGTAGGAAGCCACTCACTCAGGCAGAAAGCTGGAGGATGGGAGGCACTAAGCAAAGCTCCAGACCCAGGGTACATCTCCCAGCTGTGGGCATGTGGGATGTGGAGGAGAAATCAGTTACTCCTCACAATACAGAGCATGTTATTTCAGAAATGAAAGGAAGAAAGAAAGCCATCACACCCCATTTGCAAGGAGAGAAACTATGCACAGACCTGGGTGTCCCCATGGGGTACCCACCCCACTGAAGGGGTCCCAGCCTGCCCCCCATTTTACAGAGCCCTGGGATAAAGCACTGGGTTGCACCTTAAGGAAGGAAACACCAACCTCAATCCAAATACTGGCTTTGACAAAGACCAAATGGCCCCTGGGGTGCCCCAAAACTGCCAAAACTCATAGAGGAACCCCCCCTTCCAAATGCTCTCCACGTGCCTATGAGACACAAGCCTCCCCTGGCCCAAGGTGTGCATGTCCCAGCTTGCTCTGAGCAAGTTAGGCAACGAAACAGCAATGAGATGTGCTGAGCCACACACAGGGAAAAGAAAAAATGCCCCATCAAAGCCAGGGTTTGCTTCAGGAGCTCCAGACCCTGTCCTGAGCTGGTGTGAAAGGGTGCAGCTGCAGGGATGTGTGGCTGGGATATGCTCACTCACACCAGCAGAGGTTGGAGCCTGTGATTTGGTTCAAGAAGTCTTGCAAAGGATTCACAGTAGCCCTTTGGAGGAATCACTCCCCTGCTCAGCACTGAATTGCTCCCAAGAGTTGATATGAGTGAGGTTTGGCATTGGGCAACAGGCACTAGTTTGCTTTAAAACAAGCTACAGCGTTATCACTCTCCCTCCCTTCATCCCACCCTTCACCCTCAGAACACAAAAGGCAGATTACAAACCCACCAGGAATAAAGGAATTGGTAAGGGAAGTTCTTCCACCCCCACCTCAAAAGAAATTTTCAGCAAATAATTGAAATAAAAGTGAAAATCCTATAAAAAGGATTTTGGAACCGGCCCCTGCTTTTCACGTTGTCTTGATGTGACTTGCATTTGATTACAAAACCAAAAATAATAGAAAAAACCCAACCTGCACTGGAAAACGTCCTGAAAGAGATAACATAAATAAATTATAAATAGGTCTCTCTGAACTACAGCTTCTCAAAAAGCAACACATGGTCTCCACCATGCACAGATATGGAACACGGTGTCCCTTTCCAGGATTTTGGGAACAGAGGATCTTAGAGGAGCACAGCCCTTGCTACAGCCCCTGAGCCCTGGCAGGACTGAGCCAGAGGGAAGGG